TAACTTTCTTAATTTCGTAGCTCGTTATTTAAGAATACCTCTTATCTTAAAATCTAAGCTAATCTTACGTTAAACGAAGGGCCTATTTAAGAATAAAGACTATTATTAAAATAAGACTATTTTTATTAAAAAAGTATCTAAAGGTATTAATGCTTTTCTTCGCTATATAAATCTTTTAAATATTTAAATCGCTAAGATAGTAGAAACGCGAAGCTTTATTAAATTTTAGCGATATTAATATTAGCCTTAGATATTCGCGAGTAAATATCTATATTAGAATTATATTATAAAAGATTAATTAGTAAAGATAAATATAAAAGACGATAATGAAACTAAGTAGTATTATAAGATTATATTCGAGATCTAATAATTATATAGAGATAAAGAGAAAGAACGTAATTACTCTCGAGATATTAGCGATTATATTAATATTACGAAGTATAATAATTATAATCTTTATAAAGGATATCTCTATTTTATTTAGAACTCTAAGTATAACTTCGAGAAGATAAAGAAAATCGCTGCGAAGAAGATGGATTTCTTAAAGAAGATTAAGAATATTTTATTAGAGATTAAGAAATAGACGATATCGCCGTCTAACGCTAATATTAAATAACTTAAGAAGAATAAAGCCTCGATTTATAAGACGAGGTTTGAAATAGAGAATACTGCGATTAAAGCTGATTTCTTAAAAAAGATCGTCGAGAAGCCGAACTCTAAGAAGTCGAAGTTTAAGAATTTAAGTGATAAGGTGATAATTAAGAAGAAATCGATTTATTAATCGTTTATCTTTAAGAATTTAGATTTAAAGTTAAAAGTTAAGAAAGTAGATATTTATAATAATTACGTATATATAAAGAAGAAGATTAATTTACTAAAGAATACTCTTTTAAGATTATAAGAAAAGCTAATAATACTATTAACGATAACGAAAAGAATCTATAGAATAATTACTTTATTTTTAGCTTAATATAAGAGCGTAATAAAACTTATTAGAGGCGCTATAAAATCTTTATCTTTTCTAGACTAAGATAATAAGTAAGTTAAAGATAGAAAGGTCGATATCGAGAGTATTATAAAATACTAGAGTATTAATAAGCTATTACTAAATAAGATTCTCGATATCTTAAATAAAGCGTAAGAGATCTTCGCTAAGAAATATCTAGACCTAGCGGCCTTAGTATTCGTTTACGATAACGACGAAAAGTCTTTCGCGAAGTTCGAAGAGTAAAAGAAAGGATTTTTCGTTTCTAATTCTATAACTAAAGAAAGCGCTTAACTAATTATATATCTTCACGTCTAGATCTTTACGAGATAAGAAATGCAGACCTTACCGGAATATCTTCACATCGAATATTTCTACGCTTTTCCTTTTACGACTTTCTAATATCTATCTTAGATTCGACGTAACTATTTTTATAAGAAGTGGAATCCGTATATCTTTCTTTCTATATCTTTATTAGACCTTATCGAAATACTTTCACATCTATTAAGAAAAGTATATACCTTTCTTTCTCCGTCTCGAATCCGGCCAGGCCTACTTTTCCGTTATATCTTTCTTTCTATATCTTTATTAGATCTTATTAAAATACTTTCACGTCTATTAAGAAAAGTATATATCTTTCTTTCTCCGCCTCGAATCCGGCTAGGCTTACTTTTCCGTTCCTGACGCTACGGCTAAGGTATTTAAAGAAAGTATATATCTTTCTTTAAAACCCGTATACCTTTTTTCTACACCTTTACGTCTAAAACTTCACGAGATTTCTCAGTTCCATCTAGGAAAAAACACTTTCTTTTCTATCTTATATACTTTATTATGAGATAAGAAAAAGCTCGAGAATAATATAGCTTTTCACGAGGGAGAGTAACTGTTATGTTCCCGACATAGCGTTATATCGCTTTCTTTTCTTCCTTCGAGAGTGAGAAACCTTACTAGCGTACTTGATATATCGCTTTCTTTTCTTTCTTCGATTTCGTTTATAGCTTTAGCTAAGTTAATCTATCACATTTAGAACTAAGAAACATCTTTCCCTTCTTTATAAAACTCCTTTTTAGAAGTATATATATACTTCTTATATAGTATTTCTAATAATTACTAAAAGATATAATATAATATTAAATAATCTATTAAAAGAATTAACTTAATTAGCTAATTTTTCTATAAACTAAATCTAGATATATAGTAAAAACGCGAGAAAACTAACTATTAATATATTATAACTACTAGTTAAATAACGATATAAATAACTTAAAAGAGAATCTAGATTAGATAAAACTATTAATTATTAAGAGATTAGATAATTAGATTATGAATTTATATATAATATAAAAGATATTAATTATTCTATATATCTATAGAGTAGATATATACGATATTAAGTTACGCTAGTCTTATCTTATTAAATAATCTTAATATATCGTAATAGATATATCGCGTATTTAATCTTTTTCGAAATTGAATTTATATTATAAAGCTATTACTAAAAGACGATAAGTTTAATTAATTTAATTAAGATACGATTAACGTAACTTATAATCCTCCGCGAATATTCTTATCTTAGTTTCTTAAACGTATTAAGATTATTAAGCTTCTTCGAATTAATTTATAAACTTCGTAGTTAAACGATAGTAGTTAGACGAGCTATTAGAATAAGTAATAGTCTTATTAAAAAAGATAACGAGAATATTAAAGGTTAAGTTAATAAGAAAAGAATTTTTAAACTTACTTTTACTTATAGAAGTAGCGAAAGAAACTTAGCGAGACTAAGACATCTTTCTCTCTCTTTCTCTTCTAGTTTTAGAAAGATCTTACGTAGTAAGTCTAAGTAGAAAATTCTATTAAGTCTTATTTTTTTAATAATTTACTTAATATAAGATATTTATCTTTAAGTATATATTAATAAGTAAAGGCCTATAAATTAAATTTATAAAGTTGAATTTTTCTAAGTTAAATCGAATTTTAGCTCTAGTTCTAAGTTAAATCGAACTCTAATCGCTTACTATACGTTTTTAACCTACTTCTATTACTATAAAATTAATTTAATCTATATAATATATAGATATATATATGTCGAGAGAGGCGCGCTAAGGTTTAATTAAAGAGTATATTAAATATAGAGAATTAATTCGTAATAATTATCTATAAGAAATAGAGAAAGACTATATTCTTATAATAAGAAGTATTAAAATACTAGAAAGAAATAAAGATAACGTGTTAATTAGTAGTGTAAATTCTATAATATCTTCTATCGTAGTAAAATCTTTCGAAAAATAAAATAGCTATAAATATCGAACGGTTTCAATTCGTTTAAATATATATCGTTCGATATTTCTTCTATAGAGGCTTAATTAACTAAAATAAAGATAACGTGCTAATTAGTAATATAAATTTTATAATATCTTCTATCGTAGTAAAATCTTTCAAATAATGAAATAGCTATAAACATCGAACGATTTTAATTTATTTAAATATATATCGTTTAATATTTCTTCTATAGAGGTTTAATTAACTATAATCGTTATAGTAGATTCTTCTCTTATAACGTTATTATAATAATATATTATATTAATATAATAGAGATAATAGATTAAATTATAATAATATTCTTCGCTTACTAAGTAATAATTTAATATAGAATTATAGAGAGTATATAACGTAGAATTTTAGAGAGCTAAGCCGTATTTCTAACGATAGTAATCTTATTATCGCTTAATTTCTCTATAGTATTCTCCGCATTTATCTATTATAGTTTTTTCTCTTACTTTTTCTCTTATAAAGTATTAGATTAAGTAATTAGTTAAGTAATTAATTAAGTAGATAACTAATATAACGTAAGATCTTAAAGAGCTAAGCCGTATTCTTAATAACGATAATCTTATTATCGCTTAGTTTCTTCGTAATATTCTTCGCATTTATCTATTATAGTTTCTTCTCTTACTCTTTAATATAGTAGAGATAATAAACTAAGTTATAGTAATATTCTCAGCTTACTAAGTAATAATTTAATAAGTAAAGACCTATAAATTAAATTTATAAAGTTGAATTTTTCTAAGTTAAATCGAATTTTAGTTCTAGCTCTAAGTTAAATCGAACTCTAATCGCTTACTATACGTTTTTAATCTACTTCTATTACTATAAAATTAATTTAATCTATATAATATATAGATATATATATGCGAAGAGAGGCGCGCTAAGATTTAATTAAAGGGTATATTAAGTATAAAAGATTAATTCGTAATAATTATCTATAAAAAATAGAGAAAGACTATATTCTTATAGTAAGAAGTATTAAAATATCGAAAAGAAATAAAGATAATATATTAATTAGTAATGTGAATTCTATAATATCTTCTATTATAGTAAAATCTTTCGAAAAATAAAATAGCTATAGACATCGAACGGTTTTAATTCATTTAAATATATATCGTTCGATATATTACGAGCGTATTCTTAATATATTACTTAGCTCTATAGCTAGCGAGCCTTAGCGAAGATATCTTCTATTATATTATATCTTCTTCCCACCTATATAATTCGATAGCCTTATTATTTTAATTCTATCTCACTTATACTAGTATCGTATCTATACTAATTCTAATATTATAATAAAGCTTCTTCGTATATCTAACGAAGAGAAACATATACGGGCTAATCAATGTATACTTATATCTATTTGGATTAGCGGATGAATAGTTAATAAATAAACGCGCTAATAAGAGCTTTGTTAAGATATTAATTTAAGATTAAGATATTACGATCGGTTAAGGTTAAGATAGGAACTTAAGATATCGTATTCTTAGGTCAGCCCATTAAACGGGTAATTCGTTTCGGTATGACGGAACGGCCTCTGGACAGCAGGAGGGATAAAGCACCGCTGGACCATTCGTAGGATTAGCGAATCGAAAAGAACTCATCAAACCACTCCACCACAGTGAGCCTGCTATAATGGCGACGGGAACAGACCCGACAACACGATTACGATTCGACCTCTTCACTGAGCATGTCGACAACACACACAGTGAGCCTGCTACAATGGCAGCAAACGTACGATCTCTTCACTGAGCATGTCGACAACACACATAGTGAGCCTGCTACCAAATGGCATTCAACACATTCGATTCTTATCACCTACCTCCCTACCACACCTACGAATCGACAAGTACTTGAGTTACGGGAGTCGTCTACATCAGTCAGGTCGTTGGCTGCTGAGTACTCGCTATGGCAGCTTAGGACGGGTACATGGGACTGGCGGCTTAGGACGGGTAGGCCTACGGGGTACTGGCAGTCGAGGCGGGTACGTGGGACTGGCAGTCGAAGCGGTAGGCTTACAAAGCGGATGGATGCAGTGGACGACTACCAAGCAAGATAGCTATGAGTCGAGACAAAGGATGGAATGGATGTACTTGATGGCAAGAGCATGGGAGACACAGGGCAAATCTACAGTGATGCTCCCAGGCCAGGCTGCCAAAAGGTGTTGGAAGGTGAATGCATGCGTTGGATTTTCTTCAATTCTACCGAAGGACTACGGCAAGAGATTGGAGAGAAACTCGGAGAATCTTGCTGGCACGCAGGCAAGATATGGCCAACATCTCCAGGATCTCTGAAGGACAATGTGGGCATGGTAGGCATGGCAGGCATGCTATTGTCAAGACCAGCATGCGATCCGGCAAAACCTCGGACATGGTGTTTTTGAACGAATTGAAACCATCCGATGTTCGACTGCTACCGCCACACCTCGGCAAAATCCTCTCCAGTCAAGGCTTGCAGGGACTATGGATGTTTGGAGATACAAGGCAAGCAATGGGCCTGCATCTCCGGTCTACCAGCCATGGGGGCCATGGCTATTTGGGAGGGGGGAGTACTGTTACGAGCGTACCCTTGACACACCACTCAGCCCTATGGCTAGCGGGCCTTGGCGGAGGCATCCCCTACCATATCATGCCTTCTTCCCACCTACATAGTTCGGTAGCCTTATTATCCTAGTTCTACCTCACCCATACTAGTATCGCACCTATGCTGATTCTGATACGATATTTCTTCTATAGAGGCTTAATTAACTAAAATAAAGATAACGTATTAATTAGTAATATAAATTTTATAATATCTTCTATCGTAGTAAAATCTTTCGAATAATGAAATAGCTATAAATATCGAACGATTTTAATTCATCTAAATATATATCATTCGATATTTCTTCTATAGAGATTTAATTAACTATAATCGTCGTAGTAAATTCTTCTCTTATAACGTTATTATAATAATATATTATATTAATATAATAAGAATAATAGACTAAGTTATAGTAGTATTCTTCGCTTATTAAATAATAATTTAATATAAAATCGTAAAAAGTATATAATATGAGATCTTAGAGAGCTAAGTCGTATTTCTAACGATAATAATCTTATTATCGCTTAGTTTCTCCGTAATATTCTTTATATTTATTTATTATAATTTCTTCTCTTATTTCTTCTTTTATAGAGTATTAGACTAAGTAGCTAGCTAAGTAATTAATTAAATAAATAATTAATATAACGTAGAATCTTAGAGAGCTAAGTCGTATTCTTAACGACGATAATTTTATTACCGCTTAATTTCTCCGTAATATTCTTCGTATTTATCTATTATAGTTTCTTCTCTTACTTCTTAATATAGTAGAAATAATAGATTAAGTTATAGTAGTATTCTTAGCTTATTAAGTAATACTTTATTATAAAACGATTAAGTTATAGTAATATTCTTCGCTTACTAAGTAATAATTTAATGTAAAATTGGAATCTTAGAGAGCTAAGCCGTATTCTTAACGATAATAATCTTATTATCACTTAGTTTCTTCGTAATATTCTTCATATTTACCTATTATAGTTTCTTCTCTTACTTTTTAATATAGTAAGAATAATAAACTAAGTTATAGTAATATTCTTCGCTTACTAAGTAATAATTTAATATAAAATTATAAAGAGTATATAACGTGAAATCTTAGAGAGCTAAGTCGTATTTCTAATAATAATAATTTTATTACCGCTTAGTTTCTTCGTAATATTCTCCGTAGTATTCTTCGTAGTATTCTTTATATTTATCTATTATAATATCTTCTCTTACTTCTTAATATAATAGAAATAATAGATTAAATTATAGTAATATTCTTCGCTTATTAAGTAATAATTTAATATAGAATCGTAGAGAGTATATAACGTGGGATTTTAGAGAGCTAAGCTATATTCTTAATAATAATAATCTTATTACCGCTTAGTTTCTTTATAATATTCTTCACATTTATCTATTATAATTTCTTCTTTTACTTCTTAATATAGTAGAGATAATAGATTAAGTTATAGTAATATTCTTCGCTTATTAAATAATAATTTAATATAAAATTATAGAGAGTATATAATATAAGATCTTAAAGAGTTAAGTCGTATTTTTAATAATAATAATTTTATTATCGCTTAGTTTCTTTATAGTATTCTCTATATTTATCTATTATAATTTCTTCTCTTATTTCTTAATATAATAGAGATAATAGATTAAGTTATAGTAATATTCTTTATTTACTAAATAATAATTTAATATAAAATTATAGAGAGTATATAATATGAGATCTTAAAGAGCTAAGCCGTGTTCTTAATAATAATAATCTTATTATCGCTTAGTTTCTCTATAGTATTCTCCGTAGTATTCTTCGTAGTATTCTTCACATTTACTTATTATAGTTTCTTCTCTTATTTCTTAATATAATAAAGATAATAGACTAAGTTATAATAATATTCTCTACTTATTAAATAATAATTTAATATAAAATTATAGAGAGTATATAATATAAGATCTTGAAGAGCTAAGCGATATTCTTAATACTAAAAACTTTATTATCGCTTAATTTCTTCGTAATATTCTTTATATTCGTCTATTATATTAATTTTTCTTATACTAATTAAATAAATTAATATAAGACTATAAAGAGTAGATCTATTATATTATTACTACTAATAATTATCTTCGTAATATTCTTTATAGTATTCTCTATATTCGTCTATTATAGATCTTTCTCTTATTTAATTAAATATAAGAGTATCGAGAGTAAATATATTTATATTAATGAAATTAATAGATTAATAGAATTAATAGAATAATAAAAGAAGAATAATTATATAAATAGATAAAAGAATTATTATTTAATTTTAAACGCGTTTAATATAACTATAATATTTAAATATTAATTTAATTCATCTATCGCTAACTTAAAAGAAGTATATAAAGAAGAACTATAGAATATATCCGTTTAGACTCTTTTTAAGAGTTTTTTAACGCGTTTATAAGTAGTAGTAGATAGCTATTAAGCTTACTTACGATCTCGATTACTAGTAATAATAATTTTACTAAAAGATAATTTAAGAGCGTTAGTAGGGGATTTAAAAGATAGATAAAAGAAATATATATCTTAGATATTTAGTAATATTTAGGCGAGAGATATTAAGAGCAAATTTATTTATAATTAATAAATTAATAGAATTATAGAAGAAGAATAATTATATAAATAGATAAAAGAATTATTATTTAATCTTAAATATATCTAATATAGTTATTATAACTATTATTCTTAAATATTTATTTAATTTATTAATAGTAGATTAAACTTTATTATTTTTATAGCGTTAGAAAGCGTATATTAAGCTCTATAGTTTACGAAATTATAAAGAGATAATATTTATAGAGAGCTAATTATTTTAGAGTATAAAACTTCTATATATAAATTTTTAATAAGAAAGCTTAAAAGGGCTAACGGGCTAACTTAGTTAGTCTAGTTAAAAAACGTAATAATTCTAAATTTATAATTAGCTATATATATAAATTTAAGATTTTTAAGCTTAGCTCTATCTTATTCTAATATTTATATTAATATAAAACGACTAAGTTATAGTAGTATTCTCCGCTTATTAAGTAATAATTTAATATAAAATTATAAAGAGTATATAACGTAGAATCTTGAAGAGCTAAGTCGTATTTTTAACGATAATAATCTTTTTATCGTTTAATTTCTTCGTAATATTCTTCGTATTTATCTATTATAGTTTCTTCTCTTACTTCTTAATATAATAGAGATAATAAATTAAGTTATAATAATATTCTTCGCTTACTAAGTAATAATTTAATATAAAATTATAAAGAGTATATAATATAAGATCTTAGAGAGCTAAGTCGTATTTCTAATAATAATAGTCTTATTACCGCTTAATTTCTTTATAATATTCTTTATAATATTCTTTATAGTATTCTTCGCATTTATCTATTATAGTTTCTTCTCTTACTTTTTAATATAATAGAAATAATAAACTAAGTTATAGTAGTATTCTTTACTTACTAAGTAATAATTTAATATAAAATCGTAGAGAGTATATAACGTAGAATCTTGAAGAGCTAAGTCGTATTTTTAATAATAATAATTTTATTACCGCTTAATTTCTTTATAGTATTCTTCGTATTTATCTATTATAGTTTCTTCTCTTACTTCTTAATATAGTAGAAATAATAAATTAAGTTATAATAATATTCTTCGCTTACTAAGTAATAATTTAATATAAAATTATAAAGAGTATATAATATAAGATCTTAAAGAGCTAAGTTATATTCTTAACGATAATAATCTTATTACTACTTAGTTTCTCCGTAATATTCTTTATATTTATCTATTATAGTTTCTTCTCTTACTTTTTAATATAATAAAGATAATAAAATAAATTATAGTAGTATTCTTCGCTTACTAAGTAATAATTTAATATGAAATTATAAAGAGTATATAACGTAGAATCTTAGAGAGCTAAGTCGTATTTCTAATAATAATAATCTTATTATCACTTAGTTTCTTCGTAATATTCTTTATAATATTCTTCGTAGTATTCTTTATATTTATTTATTATAGTTTCTTCTCTTACTTCTTAATATAGTAGAGATAATAAACTAAGTTATAATAGTATTCTTCGCTTATTAAATAATAATTTAATATAAAATTATAGAGAGTATATAATATAGAATCTTAAAGAGTTAAGCTATATTTTTAATATTAAAAACTTTATTATCGCTTAATTTCTTCGTAATATTCTTCGTATTCGCTTACTATATTAACTTCTCTTATATTAATTAAATAAATTAATATGAGATCGTAAAGAGTAGATCTATTCTATTATTACTACTAATAATTATCTTTATAATATTCTTTATAATATTCTCTATATTTATCTATTATAGATTTTTCTCTTATTTAATTAAGTATAAGAATATCGAGAGTAAATATATTTATATTAATAGAATTAATAGAATTAATAAAATTAATAAAATAGTAAAAGAAGAATAATTATATAAATAGATAAAAGAATTATTATTCGATTTTAAATATGTTTAATATAACTATAATATTTAAATATTAGTTTAATCTACTTATCGCTAACTTAAAAGAAGTATATAAAGAAGAACTATAGACTATATTCGTTTAGGCTCTTTTTAAGAGTCTTTTAACGCGTTTATAAGTAGTAATAGATAGCTATTAAACTCGCTTATAGCCTCGATTACTAGTAATAACGAATTTATCGAAAAGTAGCTTAAGAGCGTTAATAGAGAATTTAAAAGATAAGTAAAAGAAATATATATCTTAGATATTTAGTAATATTTAGGCGAGAGATATTAAGAGCGAATTTTTTTATAATTAATAAATTAATAGAATTATAGAAGAAAAATAATTATATAAATAGATGAAAGAATTATTATTCGATCTCGAACGCGTCTGATATAACTATTATAACTACTATTCTTAAATATTTATTTAATTTATTAATAGTAAATTAAACTTTATTATTTTTATAGCGTTAGAAAGCGTATATTAAGCTCTATAGTTTACGAAATTATAAAGAAATAATATCTATAGAAAGCTAGTTATTTTAGAGTATAAAACTTCTATATATAAATTTTTAATAAGAAAGCTCGAGAGAGCTAGCGAGCTAACTTAGTTAGTCTAGCTAAAAGGCGTAATAACTCTAAATCTATAATTAACTATATATATAAATTTAAGATTTTTAAGCTTAGCTTTATCTTATTCTATTATATATATTAATATTAATAGATTTCGAGATAATCTTAACTCGAAGCGAGCTATCTCGAAGCTATTTTACTTTAATATATTATTAGTTAATAATTAAATTATTACTTTTTATAAAAATTTATTAAAATATTCTTAATATATATAATATTAATATATTAAATTTTCTAAAGTTAAAGTTCGAAACTTTTAAAGTTATTAAGCTTTCTAATTTTTTTTAAAAAAATCTTAAAATAATATAATAATTATATAAATTAAATAATAATATTAATAAAACTTAAATATTTCTTTACTTATATCTATAAATTATTAATAAATTAATAAATTAATTAAGATAATAATTTAAATAAATAAATTTAAAGTAAATATTTAATAAATATTAATTTATAAAAACTAGTCTAGCTTATTCTATACTAATATTTTTAAATAAATTTATAAATATAACGAATATTTTAAAATTATTTTTAAGATTATCTTAATATATATTAAAGAATAAGATAGAGATTAAAAGTATAATTTTTAAAACTCTAATTTAAATCTTCTAAAAATATTTTATTAAGATATTTTATTAAAAATTGAAAAAAAAATCGAATTCTATAATATTTAAATATTTATTTTATAGATTTTTTTATTATTAGAGTACGTAATAAAAAGTTATATATAAAAGAAATTATTTATTTTCTATTTTAACTAGTTTTAGTAAGAATTCTATATAAAATAACGGTTAATATAGCGATTTTAAGGTTTTCTACTCAGACTTTAGGGGAAGGGTATAACGAAATTTCGACCCGGAAGAAAGGTTTTTCCGACCTACCACCACCAACCCTTCCGAATAGAGTCAGAGTACTGAGACTATTCCTCTCCCACCTTCTTTCTCGCTGCCATCACCATCACTATCACTGTTGTTATCCCTTCGAGCCATTTCAATCACACCTAGGCATGCGTCAAAATGTCGATTGGAGACCAGCTGAGGATAGCTAGCTGGTTGTCCCGACTTCCCAACACCTCACCACCTTGCCCGTCTTCCGCGCCTCCATCACCCCAATCCCCGACTCTTCCAGCTGCTGGCAAGCTTCAGAGCGTGAAGCGCAAGGCATTACAGGATCCTTCATCACCCGTAAGCCATAAAAAGCCACGGTTGACACAACGCCTCACTCGTCAGGCTCTTCGCTCCATCACCGCCAACATGAGCAAGAGCAAGCAAAAGGTTGGTGAGCAACCTCCGTCAGGATAATGGCGACTGATGTATGATAGGTCGCTGAGCTGAGATCCTCCACTCCCGTCAAATCAATGCCTCCTCCCTCTACTCCCTACAAGCCTCAATCCCCCCTACGACCGCCAAGCCCAATCCTCACAAGTCGAGCTCGACGGCCTCGAAGCAGCAACTACAGCCACCTTAGCCAGCACAATCGTCTCCACCGAATCCCGGAAACAGACCAAGAATGCTCGCTCGATCCGAACATCTCTCGAAGCAAATGGCATGTGGTACAATACAACCGGGCGGCTAGAGAGCTACCCGGCTTTTAAAAACTCGATCATGGCAACCATCGATTCGCAGCGTGGCTCGAGTCTACGACCAGAATCCTACAAGGTGATCCAGGAAGAGATGGAAGAGAATGAATTGTCGAACGAGGCTACATACTTCCACTGTCTGGTGGAGCAAGTGATTAAGACCGGGCGATCCGTCGACAGCGGCAGAAAAACCGCCAACGGCACCACTCACTGGAATTGGAAACGCTTCAAAGAAGATGGCATGAGCGAGCCACAGAAAGACCAGAAAATGGCCAGGGGCTTCCTCCCAGGCCAGCTCACCGACACCGCCAATGTCGACATCGGCCTCACAGACCCCAAACCTGACTGGGTGTTCGGCATAACTATGACCACCAAGTTTGCAGCGGGTCAGGCGCCTTCGCCAGAAGTGCGCGATCTGCTCGAGTTGGGCTTCGGCCTCTGGCACGCTTTCTTCGTTATCGAAGGCAAAGGTAACCAACAACCCATTACCGTCGCCCGCAACCAAGCCCTACGCGACGGCTCGGCGCTCGTGAACGGACGCCGAGCGTTCAACAAGCTCGCGCACGATACAGGCGTTCAAGACCCTCTAGGTCCGGATTACGACTCCTTCTGTTTCTCGTGCACATGGGACATCAACATCGCCGAGCTCTGGGTCCATTGGTACGAGCTGGAAAACACGGCCTCACCGGGCGTCTTCCACATGCATCTCCTGGGCCGATATGTCATGATTGGTCGCATGACCGAGGTAGCCAAGTTCCGTCATGATGTACATAATATTCTAGACTGGGGTATCCTTACGAATGCGGCGAAGCGCGTAGAGACTATGGCGAAAATCAAGGCGAAGGAGACTGCACAGGTTTCTATCCTTAATGGCCGGGCTTCACCGCAGAAGCGGCAGGAGAGTCCCAGGAAAGGGCGAGTTCCGCCGACGAAGCGGGAGAGTAGTCCGAGGAAGAGAGTGGAATAGATAACTTCAGAAGGTTGATAATCGTTAATGAGATGATCAATATAATCTCGTAGCGATAGCGAGAGATACGTAGATATATTTTTAGAATTACAAGAGCCTCGTGTATCGCAGTTTCCGAGCAGATATCCGAGATTCTTTACAGTCTACGAATTCCCAACTCCGACCTATCTAAATCTATTCTCTAGATTAATTCACTTGAAAAGATAGAGGCAGTTTAGCTATTTAGCTATTTAGGATTCAATTCTCGTATTCGAGTATTTAAGCTTATATTAAAAAGTATTTTAAATAAAGTAAATAAGTTTTTAATAAGCGAGGAGTAAAGGTTTATAAATTAAATTTAAATTTTTTTTTTAATTAGAACTATTAAGTAAATAGATAAGCGATCTTTAATAAGTAAGCGAACTTTAGTAAGTAATATTTAAATTTTAAACGCTTTAATAATTATAAGACTAAATCTAAGAGTTCTTTTTTTATCTAAAAGCTTATATTTTATTCTATAATTTAAAAAAAGAATCTTAAAATTTTAATAGAAAATAAAAAAGTTATTCTAAAATTAAATAATATATATCTATTTTTTAATTAGAGCTATTCGACTATCGAGCGAACTTTAATAAACGATATTTAATAAGCGATATTTAATAAACGATATTTAAATTTCTTACGCTTTTATAATTATAAGACTAAATTTAAGAATTCTTATATTATCTAAAAGCTTATATTTTATTCTATAAATTAAAGAAAAGATCTTAAAATTTTAATAGAAAGTAAAAAATTTATTTTAAAATTAAATAATATATATTTATATTTATATTAGAGCTATTTAACTATCTTTTAATAATTATAAATATTAATTTATTTATTTACGATAACTTAGTCGATCTAATTAAAAAGCGTAGAGAACTCGAATTTATAATTAACTATATATATAAATTTAAGATTTTTAAGCTTAATTTTATCTTATTCTATTAAATATACTACTATTAAAGTTTCTTATCTTTAAATACTTATAAGATTAAATTTAATAATTCTTTTTTTATTTAAAATCGTAAATTAAGATTTATAATTTAAAAAGAAAATTAAAAGAATATAATAGAATACGAAAGAGTTAAGCTTAAAAATCTTAAATTAATATATATAGTTAATTGTTAATTTATTAGATTTATACTCTTTAATTAAATTAATTAAATTAGCTCGCTAGCTCTCTTAAGTCTTCTTATTAAAAATTTATATATAAAAGTTTTATACTCTAAAATAATTAGCTCTCTATAAATATTATTTCTTTATAATTTCGTAAGTTATAGAGCTTATTATATACTTTCTAATAATATAAAAATAATAAAGTTTAATCTACTATTTATAGATTAAATTAATATTTAAATATTATAATTATATTAAACGCCTCTAAGATCGAATAATAATTCTTTTATTTATTTATAAGTAAAGGCTTATGAATTAAATTTATAGAGTTAAATTTTTCTAAGTTAAATCGAACTCTAATCGCTTACTATACGTTTTTAATCTATATATAAATATATATATACGAAGAGAGGCGCGCTAAGATTTAATTAGAAAGGTATATTAAGTATAGAGAATTAATTCGTAATAATTATCTATAAAAAATAGAGAAAGACTATATTCTTATAATAAGAAGTATTAAAATATCGAAAAGAAATAAAGATAATATATTAATTAGTAGTATAAATTTCATATTATCTTCTATCGTAGTAAAATCTTTCGAATAATAAAATAGCTATTAGAGTAAGATATCGAACGATTTTAATTCATCTAAATATATATTATTCGATATTTCTTCTATAGAGATCTAATTAATCTATAATCGTCGTAATAGATTTTTCTCTTATAATATTATTATAGTAATATATTATATTAATATAATAGAGATAATAAACTAAGTTATAATAATATTCTTCGCTTATTAAATAATAATTTAATATAGAACTATAGAGAGTATATAACGTAGAGTCTTAGAGAGTTAAGTCGTATTCTTAATAATAATAATTTTATTACCGCTTAATTTCTCTATAGTATTCTCTATAGTATTCTTCGTAGTATTCTCCGTATTTATCTATTATAGTTTCTTCTCTTACTTCTTAATATAATAAGAATAATAGATTAAGTTATAATAATATTCTTCGCTTATTAAATAATAATTTAATATAAAATTATAGAGAGTATATAACGTTGAATTTTAAAGAGTTAAGTCGTATTCTTAATAATAATAATTTTATTATCGCTTAGTTTCTCTATAGTATTCTTTATAGTATTCTTCGTAGTATTCTCCGTATTTATCTATTATAGTTTCTTCTCTTACTCTTTAATCTAATAAGAATAATAGATTAAATTATAATAATATTCTTCGCTTATTAAATAATAATTTAATATAGAATTATAAAGAGTATATAACGTGAGATCTTAAAGAGTTAAGTCGTATTCTTAATATTAGAAATTTTATTATCGCTTAGTTTCTTCGTAGTATTCTTCGTATTCGTCTACTATAGTAACTTCTCTTATATTAACTAAGTAAATTAATATAAGATCGTAGAGAGTAGATTTATTATATTATTATTACTAATAATTATCTTTATAATATTCTTCGTATTTATCTACTATAGTAATTTCTTCTCTTACTAAGTATTAAATTAATATAAAATTATAAAGAGTAGACTTATTATATTATTACTACTAATAACTATCTTCGTAATATTCTTCGTAGTATTCTTCGTATTTATCTATTATAGATTCTTCTCTTATTTAATTAAGTACGAGAGTATCGAGAGTAAATATATTTATATTAAATTTAATAGAATTAATAGAATTAATAGAATTTAAATTAATAATTATAATTAATAGAATTAATAGAATTAATAGAATAATAAAAGAAGAATAATTATATAAATAGGTGAAAGGATTATTATTCGATTCTAGACGCGTTTAATATAATTATTATATTTTTAAAAGCTTTTTTTTAACGATATTTAGAATCTAATACGCGTTAAGAAGCTTTAAAATAGAGTAGAGAAGAAAGACGCGTCTTAGAAGATAGTATCGCTAAATTAAAAGGTATTATCGCTAGCTTAAAAGAAGTATATAGAGGAGAATATATTTATTTAGACTTTTTTTAAGAATTTTTTAACGCGTTTATAAGTAGTAGTATATAGCTATTAAGCTCGCTTACGACCTCGATTATTAATAATAATAAATTTATTAAGAGATAGTTTAAGAGCGTTAATAGAGACTCTAAGAGGCGGATTAAGAAATATCGAAAACGATTATATTTATATTAGTAGAATTAATAGAATTAATAGAATAGTAAAAGAAGAATAATTATATAAATAGATAAAAGAATTATTATTTAATCTCGAACGCGTTTAATATAATTATCTACAAATCTAAAAAGTAAATTTTCGTACGATTTTCGTCGAGTTCGCATTATAAGTACGATTTAGTCTATTAAGTAGACTTTATTTATATTTAACTCTTTTTATTAATTCTATTAATTTAGTAACTTTAAAAAAATTTAGTAACTTTAAAAATTTTACGTAATATACTTTAATATACTCTAAGTACTATTCTATATATATATAACATTAATATATATTATTATTAACATACGCATTATTATACGCTATACTAGAGTATTACTTACGCGACTAATTTCATTAAATCGTCTAATTCCGTAGCCAAATTTAAGTTGGCGTTGATACTCGTCGTCGTAGAACCTTATCATCGCAACGTCGATTATTAGAACTTTTCTTTTTTATACGTATTACTACTAAACTAATAGAACTAATAAAAAAGATTAGAATAGTTACTAAACCGACGGAATTTTAGCTGATTTTTGAGATAGTTGCTGAACCGGCGGAATTCTTAATTTCAGCCCTATTCGCAAGATCAGCAATTTGAAATTTAGTAGAAACTTTTTAGATTTGCAGATGACTATTATAACTATTATATTTAAATATCTATTTAATTTACTAATAGTAAGTTAATCTTTATTATTTTTATAGCGTTAGAAAGCGTATACTAAGCTCTATAATTTACGAAATTATAAAATAATAGTATTTTTAGAAAAGTAGTTATTTCACAGTATAAGACTTCTATATATAGATTTTTAATAAGAGAAACGCGAGAGAACTATCGAGCTAACTTAGCCGATCTAATTAAAAAGCGTATAAAACTCGAATTAATAATTAGCTATATATATAAATTTAAGATTTTTAAGCTTAGCTCTATCTTATTCTATTATATATATTAATATAATTTTATTTCGTCTATAATTCTATTAATTTATTAATTATAAATATATTTATTCTCTCTACCCCTCGCTTTTATATTATTAAGTCTATAAGATATATATATTTCTTTATTTATCTCTTAGACCTTTTATTAATACTCTTAAGTTATATTTTAGCGAGTTTATTATTATTAGTAATTAAGGTCGTAAGCGAGCTTAATAACTATTTACTACTACTTATAAAGACGCTAGAAAACTTTTTAAAAGAGCTTAAATTAATATATTCTTCTTTATATACTTCTTTTAAGTTAATAATAACATCTTTTAATTTAGCGATACTATCTTTTAAAATTTATCTTTCTTTTTAACTTTTTTTTTATTACTTTATTTTAAAGCCTCTTAACGCGTATTAGCTTCTAAATATTATTAAAAAAAAGCTTTTATATAAGAAAAAGACGATATAGAAAACTCTCTATTATACGACTTATTAGTAATTTTTTTTATAATAAATTTTTCGATAGTCTACGTTCTTTTAACTTATCTTTTAACTCTTATTTAGATTCTATATAGTTTTTAATAAGACTCGCTAGTTATATCGCGCGTTATCTATATACTATAGAGTCTATATAATATAATTTAAGTTTTATAAATTAGATTTATAATTATTATAATATAACGTTATAGAAAGATAAAATAATTAGATAATATTATAATAGCGAAAATATTAAAGTTAATATATTTAAAA